TTCTAATAGTATAAGCTATGTTATTTTTATTTATTTTTTAAATTCTTTATTGTTTAAAGTATTACATATGTCTCCTTTTGTTTTCTTACTGCAGACTCTGAAACATCACATCTGCAAATTACAGTGCCACAGAAGCTCGGAACCACCACCAACGATATCGATGTTTCAGAAACACAAGTAATTAAGAAATCACTTAAAAAAAATAAGTGTTTTATTTTTACTGGACTGCAGAACCTAAGTTAATTCATGAATATCCCTTTGTAAAATTTTGTGTTCTAATATATGTTTAAGTGACATTTTATCTGAATGACAGCAAGTATTTTGATTATTTTAATTTCTTAAGTGATATATGAAAATTGTGAAATTATAAAGGTACTCAGTGATATGTTAGGAATCCAAGGATTGGAACCTCAGTAGCAGGGCCAAAGAGGAATATTAAATTGCCAACTGAAAAACTATTAGATACTGAGGCAGGTTTTATAGAATGATGGTCTGACTGTTTCACATTATGGCACCAAATTTAAAAAAATCCAGTCTTTATGAGTTTATAAAAGCTATTACTTTAAAAACATAAGTATCCCAAGAGGTTAAAATTTTTAGGAGAGTATAACATATACCGGGATAATGGGAACAAAAAGAAAACTTGAGTGTCCGCAATAATAACAGAAAAAGAAAGAAGTACATTTAATGCACTCAAACATCCTTAATACACACACAACATTATGAGGGATAAGCTTTATTAAAATATTCAGTTCACCAGGCACATATAACAATTATAAATTTGTACAACTTTAACAGGTGCCCTCAGCACATATAAAATCAGATCTTATAGCACTAGGGGGAGACATTTTCAAATTCATTTTCATAGTGAGTCCAAAAAAATATGGTTTTCTCTAAACATAATCCGTGTTGTTGCAAATGGTAAGTTTTCATTCTTTTTATATGGTCGAGTAATATTCCATTGCATATAGTATGTACCACATCTTCTTTATCCATTTGTCTATTGATGGCAACTTAGGTTGCTGCCATATCTTGGCTATTGTGAATAATGCTTCAAAGACAAATACCATATGATTTCACTTATATGTGGAATCTAAAGAACAAAGTAAATGAAGAATCAAAACACAGACTCATAGGTACAGAGAACAAACTGATGGTTGCCCGAAATGAGGGTGGTTGAGGGGAAGCTGGGTGATAATGGTGAAGGTATTAAGAAATACAAATTGGTTCTTACAATTAGTCATGGGCATGTAAAGTACAGCATAAGGAATATAGTCAATAATATCATAGTAAATATGTATGCTGCCAAGTGGGGACCAGACTTATCCAGGGGATCACTTCCTAAATTATATAAATTTGCAACCACCATGGTGTACACCTGGAGCTAATATACTGAATATCAATTGTAATTGAAAAATTAAGAGAAAAAAATTTTTGTTCAAATGGTGGTGGACAAATCATAAGATATAAAGAATACTTGAAAAACAAAAATAAACATTTTATTCAATGGATATATATTAATTGAATGATCCCATGGAGTAAATGCTCTGGTTTCCCTTTCTGCTATTTGTTAGGACTCACTAGACCCCACAGTGTATCGCACATGAGGCTTTTTAAGGGCAAAGCATCTGGTGCAGCAGGAGAAAGAGAATTCAGGCAAATATCAGGATCCAAGAAACATCCACAGTCAGCTCCTCATGAACCCAGTCTCTGCTCCTGAAACATGCTGAGTCTCTGGTTTGGAATAACAAGACCTGGGGGAGGAACTTTTGCCTTGAGAGACTACTCCTTACAAAGCTTCAGTCACTAGGAAGCCAAGCCAGCCCTGTCTAGATAGGTAGGGCAACACTGAGGAAGCTAACTTTAGCCAGGGAAGTTTTGTTCCCTACGTGTGCATTACAAATCTCACAGTCCTTTTGACTAAGAGTCAGACACATTCAGGCTGGAGGCATCCCCAGAAATAAAGGCAGAACTTTGCTGATCCTGCTGTAAATCAGGTCTGTCTCCACAGTAATTAATGCTTCTTAAGAATATACAGGTGAGTCAACAAAATTGACAAGAGCACGTTAAAGAATTAAAAATCAAACACAGTACAAAACTCCTTTTATGGTCACAATTTAAAATTTATCAAAAAGACTGAAATATGTATTTGGTAATTTAAAAATACACATGTACATAATTCATGAGTTGAAGATGAAGTTTGTTCTCTGTATCTATGAGTATAAAATGGATATTAAATAATAACGTATGATCAATAACGAAAAAATTGCAAACCAAAGTTTGAGTCATGCTCATAAGATGGTAGAGGGGAATAATTTATAATTACAAATACTTAAATAAGCAAAAAAAAAAGGTCTGGAAATTCAAATTTAAAAAGAATTATAACCTTAAAAAAGTTAAAGATGTGACTGAAATTAAGAAGTAGAATTAATGAAAAAGAAAGGTAAGCTAAAATTTTCTGGATCCATAGTGTCAAAGGTTGATTTCTGGGGAGAAAAGGATATATTTTGGTAAGGTAGACTAAGGAAAATGGAAAGGAGAAGAAAAATATGTAACATTAGGAATGAGAAATATATGAAGGTGTAAATAAAATCTAAAAAAATATATGCATTTTAAGTGTTATTTAAACGAAATAGTTAAATTCATAAAAATATAACAAAATTGACCTAAGATGAAACAAACAGCACTGCTGCTCTTTTCCTATTAAGAAAGTAAAACATTTTTTAAATCCTGTGACACTACCCCTCCCACCATTGCAGGCTAAACTGATTCTATGATAGGATAAAGAAGATGTGGTACATACATCCTCCTCAACCACAGAAAAAGATGAAATATTGCCATTTGGGACACATTGGATGCATGCCATGCTAAGCAAAATACGTCAGAAAAAGTTAAGAGCCATCTGATTTTACTCATATGTGCTATATAAAACCAAAAGCAACAAATGAAAAAACAAAAACAAACAAACAAAAACTCAAAGACACAGACAACAGAGGGAAAGGAGGTGGTTGGAGTAGTAAAGGGTAGTAAAGAGTAGTAGAGAGTCCAGTTTACAGTGAGGGAAGATGATGTGACTTTGGGTGGTGGGCACACAATGCAATATGAAGTTCACGTGTCCCCTTTTTTTACCCTTAGCCACTTCCAGCCTGCCCTTACCCTCACCCCCTTCCCTCTGGCCATTCCCACACTTTTGTCTTTTGTCTGTGTCTAGGGGTTAGGCATATATGTTCTTAGGCTAATCCTTTCATCTTCTTTCATCTAGTTCCCCCTCCCCATCCCCCTCTCACAGCTGTCAGTCTATTCCCTGTATCCATGCCTCTGTTTCTGTTTTATTCCTCCATTTATTTTGTTCGTTAGATTCCACATATTAGTGAGGTCATATGGTATTTGTCTTTCACTGACGGGCTTACTTCACTTAGCACAATAATCTCCAGGTCCATCCATGCTGTTGCAAAAGGTAAGATTTCCTTTTTTTTTTTTTTTTTTTTACAGTCATATAGTATTCCATTGTGTAAATGTAACACAGCTTTTTATCCATTCATCTACTGATGGACACTTGGGCTATTTTCAGACTTTGGCTATTGTAAATAACACATCTCTGAACATAAGGGTGCATATATTCTTTTGAATTGGTGTTTTCAGATTCTTAGCATATATTTCCAGAAGTGGGATCACAGGGTCAGAAGAGAGTTCCACTTATAATTTTTGGAGGAAAGTCCATACTGGTTTCCACAGTGGCTGCCTTCTGATCAAGAGTGCTCTAGGGTAATCTTTTCTCCACATCCTCGCCAAGCCTTGTTATTTGTCAATGGATTGATTGTAGGCAGTCATTCGGGCAGGTGTCAGATTTCCACTAGCAGTGTATGAGTTTCTGTTAGTCCACACCCTCACTAACACTTGGCATTCTCAATCTTTGTTGTTGGCAATTTTGTTAATTTTATTCCCTTTTCGCTATCCTTTTTAGTTTTTGGCATCCCACAAACAGTGATGATGAGTGATATGTAGAATGTTAATAGGCCAATTTGATATGAATTGCAAATATCATTTAGTATTGTCTAGGAATCCACTCTGATTTTGAGTAGCAGGTAGTAGTTCATCTAGTTTATCGATGCTTTTGCGTTTGTTTTTACTGTAGGAAGAAATTATCAATATTTTAAAATTAAGTATGATGTTGGCTGTTCATTTCATGAAAGACCTTTATTAGCTTTTTGGAAGGTTTTCAAATTGTCCATAGAACTATCTATCTAGAGATACATAAAAGCATATATATCGATGTGTCTATGTATGTATACATTTCCTGTCAGTGTAGGGAAGTAACCTTTCATTCCTAGGACAAAGGCCATTTTGTCATGATATAGTTTGTTGTTGCATTTAATTTGCAAATATTTTTTAAGGCTTTGAAATTATGATCATTGAAGTGTTTTGCTTCCTCAGAGTATAGTTATCTTGTTGCAATATCTGGATTATACTGTCTCATATAATTAGTTGGGAAGTGTTCTGTCTTTATATTCCATGAATTTTTGAAGATTAGTATTTTTCCTTATTCAAATGTTTAGTGCAGTTCACCATTGAATGAATATCTCTGGACTTGGAGATTCCTTTGTGAGAAGATTTGTAATTACAAAATTAAATTCTTGATAGAGTGGTTTTAAGCCTATCAATTTTATTATCTCTGTGTGTCCTTTTGTTTCCATTATATTTTTCAGTTGTTACCATGTTTTCTTTTTCACTGTTTAATCTATTTTAATTGTATTTTAGCTTTTTTTTTTCAATTAAAGAGCCTGTTTCCTATTAGTGGGGAGAGGGAAATGTTGTTTAGTAGTCAATCTCTATGCTTGGTATGCTCATTGTGACAGGGGTTTCACTACTTATATGTAATTCAGTGGCCCACGCCAGAAAATATGTGCATGTATACACACAAACATGATTGTAGGGTGTGTGTACATGTGTGTGGATGTGCATAAATATGCATGTGTGTTTATATTAAAACCATAGTTTATATTGATATATCCAATTTCAGTAGAAAACCACAGGTAAAGAAAATGAGAGGGGGGTGGGCAGGACATAATATATGCCAAAGATAAACAGCAAGAGAGTTGGCTTATACTTAAATATGTACATTTCATTAAAAGTAATTGGTGTAAACTTTGCAACTAAGTCAGAGATTATCATTTAATGAAAACATTAATTGCTCTCTATAAGAAATACTCTTTAAATAAGACAAATAGATTAAAATAAAAGAATATACAATTTTTAAATTGAAACCCAAATCAAATAGTAAATGTGAGTTCATAGAGTGATATGAGAAGCAGCCTGCAGAACAAGATAAATAATTCCATGTCTTAATGATAAATATGTTACTCTAACAAGAAGTCATAATAATCTTAAAAATATTTGAAGAATATTTATAAAAATATTTGAAGAAATGCAATATGTCATTATATATTACTAGAGGCCCTGTGCATGTAATTCATCCCTAGGCCTGGCCGGCGATCGAAGTGTGAGTGTCTGGCATGGAAGGGCAGGTCCAAGCTGACCTCTGGGCCCTGGGCAGCACCTGGGCCCCCGGGCCTCCTCACGCCGCCATCTGCCTGAGTCATGGCGCCTGAGTAATGGAGCCTGAGTCCCCCCATGAAGATGCAGTGAGTGTGGCCAGACGCCTCGGGCTGGGGTTCAGCTTGGGCCTCTGGGCTGCCCAGCGGCCCTGCAGGGAAGCCGGGCGGGCAGCATTCTCTCTCCCAGCCAGCCTCACAGACCGGCTCCTGCGCGAACCCACAGGGAGCCCGACCGGCCCCTGCTGTCCCAGCGGCTGCACCCAGAAGAGGCCATGTGGGTGCAAGTGGGCTCCTTGCGGTCGCCCAGCATCTGAGCGCAGGGCCTTCTCTGGCACTCAAGAGCTGGCATCCCGGGCCCCTGCTCGCACCCACCTTGGCCTGGCGCCATCCGCTCACCTGCTCCACCAGCCTGCTGTGGTCCCGCTCTTGTCAGTGCCCATGCGGGGGGACGCAGCGCCTCCACTGTCCCCTGCTGCTAGCACCACATCGCCAACACCTGCCATGTTCCCTGCCGCCCCCCTGGTGGTCAGCACACGTCATAGCGAGTGGTTGAACTCCTAGTAGAACTTCCCGTCGAGGGGACAATTTACATATTAGGCTGGCTTTTATTATATAGGATTTTATAATCATGAAAATATTTGTATTAATAATTTAATAAGTTGCCCACAAAATCCTGCTAGTCAAAAGGTTTTAAGGCTTTAAACAATATTCAAGGAAAGATAATAACTTTTTCAGATAATAGAACATAAATTAACTAATCCTTCAGATTTTGAGTATCATTTTAAGAGATCAATGTAACTGTTATATAGAAGACAAATAAAGTGTGAGAAAAGAAAGTTATAGGTCCTTTCAAAAGTGAAAGTAGCAAATAATTGTAAAACATTATGACCAAGTAGCTTTACTCTCTGCAGGAGAGTAATCCTAGAAAAATTTATTCAAATAACTCATCATACTAACATTTTAAAAAGTCGATGACTGTATTCAGAAAAAGCATTTTATAAAATTATTCACACATTTACACACACACTCGCCAAATACTCACAAAATATTTCACTTTAGAAGAGAAAGATTCAATGTGATTTACATGAATCTAAGTAAAATAACAGCACCAACAACAGGAAACTGTCATGCTTAATGTTATAAACAGTACAGAATTTCATTTTAGGGCCAGAGTAAGGCGGAGTGCCTATATTTCCATTTTATTCAATAACTTATAATATAAAATTAAGGAACAGAAATGTAGAACAAGTAGGGTTTAGAATGTAAAACAGGACCAGCTATTGCATGCACCAGGCTTCTGCCTTGAATAACTGGGTAACTGTTTACTTGGTGATGCCATTATCTGATTTCTACAATGTAGAAGACAAATTATACAGATTTATTCTCAACTAATAGAATGAAGATAGGATACTAAATGAAATAGTACTCAAATCTATTCTTTTTTTAAAAATATATTTTATTGATTTTTTACAGAGAGGAAAGGAGAGAGATAGAGAGTTAGAAACATCGATGAGAGAGAAACATCGATCAGCTGCCTCCTGCACATCTCCTACTGGGGATGTGCCCGCAACCCAGGTACATGCCCTTGACGGGAATCGAACCTGGGACCCTTCAGTCCGCAGGCCGACGCTCTATCCAATGAGCCAAACCGGTTTTGGCAAATCTATTCTTTTTCTACATAATTTGTATATATAAAAGTAAAGTCACAAAACACATCATGAAATGTATTCAACCTGTAAATTGAAACTTGGTTTTATCTTTCAGAATGTATCTCTAGCAAAAAAAAAAGTGAGTCAGAGAAAGACAAGTATCACGTGATCTCATTCATATGTGGAATCTAATGAACAAAATAAACTCTTGAGCAAAATAGATCCCAAAACACAGAAGCATGGAACAGATTGTCAAATCTCAGAGGGAAGGAGCGGGTGGGTGGGTGGGAAGAGATCAGCAAAGAACTTGTATGCATATATGCATAACCCACGGACACAGAATATAGGGTAGTGAAGGCCTGGTTTAGGGGCTGATGGGAGCATCAGCAAAGATTGTATGCATATATGCATAACCCACGGACACAGAATATAGGGTAGTGAAGGCCTGGTTTAGGGGCTGATGGGAGCAGGCTATAAGGGGTCAATGGGAGACCTGTGTAATACTTTCAACAATAAAGATAAAAAAATGCACGTCTAAATTTTAGATGAATATGTAAAATTAAAAAATACATATTCCATCAAAATAAATCAAAAGATAAAACTGGAAACATCAAAAGTAAGTTGGTGCAACTATATTAGTATCAAAGTAGAATTTAAGAAACACTTTTAGAAATAAAAGCTATTGATAATGTGATTAATTTATCCTGAAGATATCAACATACTAAATCTGTTTGCACCCAAAAACAAAGCTCTGAAAATATGCAGGGCCAAAAACTCAGATTAAAAGAAGAAAGAAACAATGTCACAATAATCTTGGAAATGCACACACGTCTTTTTCAATAGACTACAGAAGATTGAACACTATAAGTTGAAAATGACATTATCCCAAAATTGCACCCAATGACAAAATTCACATTCTTTGCAAACATGGAACATTTACCAGAATTAACTACGTGCTACCCCATAAGAAATGGATATGTTTGATGCTGATGCTCTGGGTTCTCTGAGTTGTAATCTCTGAGGGGATTTGTGTAAATTAGGGGTTGCCCTTGTGATGAGCACTGTGGAAGGGGAGGGAAAAAACCAGGGGTGGGGAGAGCATCAACTGAGTCTCAACAAGAGGGAAGCTGGCATGACCCATGAAAAGATATGGAGTTGGGGTAAGGGGGCTTCTTATTAAACGTGGACTGTCCCTGAACGTTGTGAGGCAAATCCTGGAGAGAACAGCAAGGTGAAAGGCTGTGTGCAGGCAGTGCTTCTGGCGGTTATGGCTACTCCCTTTCACCTTAAAAGGGGACCTGCATTATAGTCCTCGGATTTTTTTCCATGTTGTGCTAGAAGCTGAAAAGTAGGAAAAAAGATAATAAAATTCAAGTTTCTTCAAGGTTCCTCAGCATTTCTAAATGTAATCATTTTAAATTACATTTGATTATGATACGTAATAAATGCCAATGACTAATGCTCTTAATTTGAAATAGATTTAGACTCCTTGAATTTCTGTCATACATTCTGCGATTAAAGAAAGATAGCAATATACTCTTATATGTGTATATAATTTTGACACACGCATGATACAATTTGGGTTTACATGAATGAGTGCATTTTTAAAAAGTATGGCTTTTGACTTGAAGAATTTCACCTTTTTAATGATTACTTTCTCTCTGAATACTCTGTTGTAGGTCATTTATGCCATCCAGATTAACAGGAAAACATTCTCTCTCCATCTTAAAAAACAGTAAGTGAACATTCTTTTTTTCATATAGTTGTTTTTAGTGTCTTAAATTTGTATAGTCACTACCCTAAATTGAGACTAAACAAAAACATGAATATTTCATTTGTTTAACATGTTATATCTTCTTCATGAATCATGTAAGACTAGAATTTCAGCCTTGATTTTGAGATTTGAAATTTAATTTTAAGCCAAATTCTAATTTAATGATGTAAATATTAAGTATGTTAGATATATTAAGATTACTCTGTGTAACTCCTTAAAATGCAACCACAATTGCAACAATTAAGGGTATAATTTTATTTGACTATGTTTAGCTTTTTTTGTCTTCATGTTACTTCACATATTTATATGATTTTAAGACTTTTACTTGATATTCTACAATACCTTTTTTTTCACTTTGCAATAGCATGTATTTTTAACGTCTTAAATATTCTATTATCTATCTTCACTCTAGGAAATCAATATTAATAATTTTGTGTGTACTTTTCTCAATTTTCTATTTAAATTTAATTCTTCTATTAGACAAAACCTATCTCCATGTTTTTTATGAAAGTGGAAATAGGGTATTGCAACTGGCAAGTCTTATAAAAATGATGCTTATTTTCCTGCTCTTTGTATATTTTGTAACTCATTTTTTAATAGATAACATTAGAAAATATGTAATATTGATAGGTAATGAGGTAATTTCCAGGGATTGTTGCTAATGAGTCCTGCAATAAGCATTCTTGTATGTATATTTTTATTTAAATAGATTTTTTTTGGTAGCCTTGATATTAAGAAATAGGTTTTTGAAACAAGGAATGTGAATAATAATGACAATAATGATGATAAAAACAACAAAAGTAACTGGCATTTATTGAACACATACCATTTGCTGGGCATATTTCTAAGCAATTTGCATGTAGTAACTGATTTAATATTCACATTTTCTAGTATATTAAGATTTTGAGAGACATTGCCAGTGTCTTTCTGAAAAGATGGTAGCAACTTAAATTTCCAAAAGCTTGCATGATGTACTAAAATATTTGATTTCATCTTAACATCAATTTGTATTTCCCTAAATAATTACTCTGAACAATTATCTATATGTGGCTTGCATATTCATATAATTTTCTCATTATATATTTTTAAATTTACTTTACTTAGTAGAGCAGTTTTAGGTTTATAGCAAAGTTGACTGGAATGCACAGATATTTCACATGCCCTCTGCCCCACATTAACAACAACCTCCATCAAAATGATATATTTTTATAATTGACTAGAGGCCCAGTGCATGAAATTCGGCAGGGTCGGCTGGGGGGAGGGGCCACAGGCAGTTGGCCGGCTGGCTCCGCCCCTTGGTCGAACTCCCGGTTGAACTCCCAGTTGAGGGGACAATTTGCATATTAGGCTTTTATTATATAGGATTATCCTGGCTTGACATATCATTATCACCCAAAGTCCATAGTTTATATTAGATCAATATTTTTTATGCTGTTTTTTTCTTTTGAATGATAAAAAAATGTATAATTCTGAGAATAATTTAAATAATTAATGACAAACATGTAGGAAGGCTGAACCTTTGTAGCATGTTCATATTGGGTTTGTCTACAGAAATTCTTTAGGTTAGCTTAGGAAACGTGAGTGGTAACACTAGTATCCTATTTCTTAAGAAAGGCTTTGAGAACTATTGCATGCTTCTACAATTATTTTTCTCTCTCTGCTAAAAGGAAGATGTGTTCCAAGGAGGGGCCATGCCTTTTGCTGGGTTCCAAAGTGAAGGTAGCATGTGGCTGAACCTGAAGTAAACGTGCAAAAAACATCCATTGCTGTTTTAAGGCAATGAGAACACAGGGGCTGTTTTTACCACAGCATCCTATCTAATAATAGACAAACATGGTAATTAACCATACCTCCGACACGCTTCCCATTGGCTAATCAGGGCGATATGCAAATTAACTGCCAACCAAGATGGCGGCCGGCAGCCCCCCAGCTGAAGCGAACAGGAGGCTTGCTTGCTCCAGTGATGGAGGAAGCCAAGGTTCCCCGCCTGCCGCTGCTGGGCTCTGAGCTGCACTCTAAGAAACAATGTTGCAATTATAGAAGCTAAACAAACCCCAGAAACCTGCTTTCAGCCAGCCGGGCCTCAGAGCTGGAGCTGCAACAGTGTTTCAATTATAGAAGCCAAACAAATCCAGATACCTGCTTTCAGCAGCCGAGGTCTCAGATCTGGAACCGAGCATCAGAGCTAAAGCCGGCTCTCAGTTCCAGTGACAGCCATAGAAGGTAAATAAATCCCAGAATAAAAAAAAAGAGAGAGGTTGGGAGCTTCAGTCACCCGCCAGCCTGAAAACAGCCCTCAGCCCCTCACCCAGACTGGCCAGGCACCCCAGTGGGGACCCCCACCCTGAAGGAGGTGTGACCAGCTGCAAACAGCCATCATCCCCTCATCCAGGCTGGCCAGGCACCCAAGCGGGACCCCCACCCTGATCCAAGACACTCTTCAGGGCAATCCAGTGGGCCCCCACCTGTGCACCAGGCCTCTATCCTATATAGTAAAAGGGTAATATGCAAACTGACCCTAACAGCAGAAGGACTGGGAATGACTGGTCACTATGACACACACTGACCACCAGGAGGCAGATGCTCAATGCAGGAGCTGCCCTCTGGTGGTCAGGGCGCTCTCACATGG